TTCTTATTTTATAAGATGATAACTTCATTAACTTAATTTAAAAATAAAAATAAAAATATTCCTATATTCTCTAATTTATTTTCCTTTCTAAATCATGCACTCCAACTCTAATCTAAATTTTCAATTCACTTGTAACTCTATTTCTTATAACTACTCTATGACTCTATTTTGAAAACTCTAAATTTTTAATTTGTTTTTAAAATAATATTCTGATTCTCCTAACTAAATTTTAAGAAATATCATTCTAGAAGTCTTGAAACTATATAATAGAACCAAATTTGATATTCTATTATTTTTGGATATTTGGTTAAGAAGTATTAAATTTTAATTATGAATGCTTCTAATCATTCCTAATGACATTTATGTTAAATTTTAATTGTTTTTAACAAGGTTTGGAAGATGGGATTAAATCATTTGCTGCATTAAGGAAAAAAATTAGTGTTAACCTTTAAGAATTACTTATACTGTATTTAAAATTTAAAGTTATTTTTTATTATTCTTGATGCCTCTAGTAATGTAGTTAAGAAGAATTTTCAAATTTTTTCAATTTTTACAATTGTAAATAAGTATAAGAACTTGTTTATAATTTGTGTATTTTATTATGTTTCTAGTAATTTAGATATTAATATATTTTACAGTTATATTTTCTATTTAAGGTTACAATTTTTTATATTATCTCATATATTTATTAGTGTTAAAAATCGATCAATCTAATTGAACCACACTGATCCGATTTAAGTTGGATTGGTTTGGTTATCATATAATAGTAGATTAAATTGATTTAAAAATTTTATTAATCGATCAAATTAAATTAATTTAAAAAATATTAAAATTCAAACCAAACTACACTGCGAACACTCCTACCAAATACTAAACTCTAAAAAATTTAAATCTTAACACAATCATAAAAAATTTAAATCCTAACCCACTTTATCCCCCAAATGTAAGATCTCCTGTAAGAAATAGAAATGAGGTAAAATTTACGACATAAACCCCTGCAGTATACCTACCCAGCCATTAGCTGGCACAAGGATGCGAAGCCTCTCCTCGCACTTGCGAAGACCCATTGCTGATCTAGACACACAATCAATAATTAAACTAACTTAAAATCATAATATTGTATATTTTTTTATTTCAAAATAATTATTTTTTTCTAAATTAAGAATTAAGTATAATTTATGTATTTATTTATATATTTTTAAAGAAAAACTAAAAGATAGAGTAAGAATTTTTTTAA